TTTTTTTGCGGTACGCGGGCCTCTCACTGTTGTGGCCTCTCCCGTTGCGGAGCACAGGCTCCGGACGCGCAGGCTCAGCGGCCATGGCTCATGGGCCCAGCAGCTCCGCATGTTGGATCTTCCCGGACTGGGGCACGAAACCGTGTCCCCTGCATCGGCAGGCAGACTCTCAAACACTGCGCCACCAGGGAAGTCCAAAATTTTACTTTTTAATGTCACCTGTATGTAGTCTTTCTTTACCACAGTCTTGTGGGTTCGACCTTATTATCCCCATTTTCACAGACATGAAGACTGAACCTTAGAAATGTTAAGTAACTTGTCCAAAGTCACAGAACTAAAAAGTGTGTGTGGAGAGCTGGGATTCAAATCTATGAATCGCAACCCCGATCTCTTTCCACCTTAAACTAACTGGAAGGAGGGGCTTAGGAGAGCTTCCCTCTGGGACACCACATTTATTCTTTGTGCAGGTTACTGGGTTCTGGGGCTGCTCAGGGGGGACCCACCCTTCTGCCTTCTGGGCTTTCAGGAGATCACCGAGCCTCGGAGCAGATCCTACTGGCCGTTTCCCACACCCTCCTTCTCCGAGAGCACAACCGGCTGGCCAGAGAACTAAAGAGACTCAACCCTCATTGGGATGGAGAGAAGCTCTACCAGGAAGCCCGGAAAATCCTAGGAGCCTTCATACAGGTAAGAGGCTCAGGAGAACTGCCTCACGTGCCAGCCTCGCTTCTGCTCCTGGCTCTGCCCTCTGCCCGCAGACACCGTCCAGTGACCACCTCGGCTTTCCACACCTCCATTTCCCCATTCCTCTCCTCTGCTGCTTCTTTCCCACCGTCTCATTCTTTTAAACCCTCCCTTTTGCTTCAGCTTCTCGGCCCCAAAATGAATCCCTGGATTCAGGGTGTTGGAGAGTCATTCATATGTCAGTCACTCAGTATGCCCGCCCAGGGGCCATCACTGGGGCCACATGCTCCATCACTCCTGGGACTGTTACATCACAGTTATTTTGATTGTTTTGATTGGATTATCTTCTAAAATTTTCCACACCTAAGCCACATGTCACAGGCATAGTCAATTGCTATCGTTGATTGACTGATTGACTAACTAGAAGAGACTTAGAAAAGTTGCTATGTTGATATTAACCATACACATATTTTTAAAACATTTTATTTAAAAATAATTGTAGGGCTTCCCTGGTGGCGCAGTGGTTGAGAGTCCGCCTGCTGATGCAGGGGACGTGGGTTCGTGCCCCGGTCCGGGAAGATCCCACATGCCGCGGAGCAGCTGGGCCCGTGAGCCATGGCCGCTGAGCCTGTGCGTCCGGAGCCTGTGCTCCGCAACGGGAGAGGCCACAACAGTGAGAGGCCCGCGTACCGCAAAAAAAATAAAAATAAAAATAAAAAATTGTAGATGCTCAGGAAGTTGTATCAAAAAGAAAAAAAAGCACATGCACCTAGTCTCCCCCAGTGCTGACAGTTTGCATAACCATGGTACAATATCAAAAGCCAGAAGTTAACATAGATACGAACCATAAAGTTTATTCAGATTTCACCAGTTATAAGTGCAGTCAATTCATGTGGTGTGTGTGTGTGTGTGTGTGTGTGTATGTGTGTGTGTGTGCAGCTCCATGTAAGTGTATCACATATGTAGTTCCATGTAACCACCACCACAATAACGACACTTACCTCTACCATCACCACAGACTCCCTTGTGCTACCTTTTTATAGCCACATCCACCCTCCCCCTTCCCACATCCCTAACCCCCGGCAACCACTAATCTGTTCTCCATCTGTACAGTTATGTTATTTCATGAGTATTATATAAATGAAATCATGCAGTATGTATTCTTTTGAGACTGGCTTTTTACTTTCAGCATAATTTCCTCGAGGTTCATCCAACTTGTTACATACATCAGTTGTTCATTTCTTTTTGTTGTTGAGTAGTATTCCATGTTTTGTTTAACCATTCACCTATTGAATGACATTTGCATAACTTCCAATTTGGGGCTATTATGAATAAAGCTGCTATGAACATTCGTGGATAAGTTTCTGCATGAAAATAGGTTTTTATTTCTCTGGGATATATGCCCAAGAGTGCAATTGCTGGGTTATATGCTAAGTCCATTTTTAGTTTTAAAAGGAACTGCCAAGGTATTTTTCAGAGTGGCTGTACTGTTTTTTACATTCCCACCAGCAATGTATGAATGATCCAGTTTCTCTGCATTCTGGTCATTGTTTGGTGTCATCACTCATTTTTTTTTTACCCTTTCTGATAGGTATGTAGTGATGTTGCATTGTGGTTTTACTTTGCATTTATCTGATGGCTGATCACATTGAACTTCTTTTCATGTGCTTTTTTGCCATCTGGATATCCTCTTCAATAAAACATCTGTTCGTATATTTTGCCCATTTTCAAAATGGATTTTGTCTTTTTGTTGAGTTTTGAGAGTTCTTTATATATTCTAGATATGACTCCTTTGTCAGATATGTGACTGTAAAAATTTTCTCCCAGTCTGTACTTTGTCTTTTCATTTTCTTAATAGGGTCTTTTGCAGAGTAAGAGTTTTTAATTTTGATGAGGCCAAATTTATCAGTTTTTTCCTTTCATAGATTGTGTTTTGGTGTCAAGTTTCAATTCTTTCCC